TCAGAAGTACATTTCAGAAAACCTGGGCTGGCAGGAGTGAGTCCAAGGGAGAAAAAAAGTGACTGGCTCTTAGGAAACATGACCTATAAAAAACAACTGCAAAAACAGCTGTTATTTGAAGGAGGAAAAATAMTACAAAGAATGAAAAAAAAWWTTTTTGAATATTTATCATATGGTTGCACAAAAGGAAAAAAAAAAAGTCTCATGGCTATGTCTAGTATGCAACTAATTAAAATGCTTAATCTGCAGAAAGTCACATTTAAGGTACATGTTGGGGTTTTTTTTTTCTCATGATAAAATAGTACAATATTTTAAACAAACTGCTATGATAATACCACAATCTTAACTGCATTTTAAAAAATTGCCTGTCAAAAATTATATATGTGTAACTGATCTTGGCTTTGGGCCATGTGATGACCTCTTCTAACTCTTTGTACACCCTTTATTTTCTTTTGATTCTTGGCTATCAAGTTATTTACAATAAACTTAGCTCCTTCTGTAAAAGTTCCAAGATCAGGCCCTAAATCTGTCATGGTGTTGATAATCATGACGATCAGAAGTGTAACACTTGTAAAACTGGAATGTGAAATCCCTTACCTCACAAAATGTCAGTGAGAATCTCCTTAGAAATGACCTTGTGATATGATCCTGACAAATCCCAGCTGTATCTGAAATGGAAAGGTTATTTGACAGTGAACTTTATTTTAGTGTGGTGACTTCCGGCTGTTTGTAACAAAAATAAAGTGAATGGTACAGACAAAACACCATAATCTCCTACAAGACCAAAACCAGAGTCATATTTCATTTGCTATTGTTTGTTTTAGATATATTYTAGTTTATTGCTTTATGGTTTTTCAATGCTGAAGTTCATAAATCATGATAAGGTCAGCAGCATTCTCTTAAGAACACAAATAACCTGTAAAATGTATTTCTTGTTAGGCTATCCATGCCCAAAGAGAAAATCATCTTTGACTACATAACTTTTATTTTAGAACAAATTCTGTTTGAGTGCACACTATGTACATGTACCTCCTCTTACCAGTTATATGAGCCTAGACTAACTCTGGCAGCTCAGCTCTGCACATACAAAAAAATACGTATTTTTGGAACAAATAGGACATCACAGCATTCTAGAGAATACAGTGGAGTTGGGGATTTTCTGTTCCCCAAGCATTCTTCTGTTTCCCCAAGCTTTTTTCTGTTCTTCCCACTCCTACACTAGCATTCATTCTGATTGAAAAAATAGTTTTTAAAAGTAGGATAAAAAATTAGAATGGTTTTGGATTGATCGTAGAAGTTAATAAAAAATTATGGATCTGATCACCTTTACTGAACCCTTGCTTTGTGCTGTGCAGGTGCTATAAGGGACTGGCCATGAGTAACTATGAATTCCTTCACAGAGGGACAAAACCTCCCTGCTGCTTTAGCCTGTTCTTATGCTATTGGCACAGCCTCAGTGCTGGAAAGGAAGCAGGATCAACTCTTTCTCCACTGATTTTTGTCTGGTTATCACTGGCAACAGTTCTGTAAACTGAGATTGGGGTAAAAGCTGTGAATCCAGTACCTGTCTGCCATAGTCCCTTGACAGCATTCAGATGTCAGCATTCTCTGCTTCTTATTTCTTGTATTTCTCAAGATTGCAAATTACATCCCTAAATCTCCAGACTGACTTTCTAGGTAGCACTGATTTCCTTCYAATTCAAGATCCTCCTTCCAAGTTCCTTATCACTGTATATACCTTCTTTTTATCCCTGAGACTAMTATTTCATGCTCCCTGCAAGATCAGTGGTATGGGGGGATATTCTTTCTGTTTATCATTTGCAGCCTGCTAGGCCTTCAAGTTTCTCAAATTAATTTTTTCCTGAACTGGCTTCTTACACTGTTCTTCTTGTAGTAATTTATATGAAGAAAAAAAACAAAAAAACCCAAAGAAGTCCAGAGAGGCTATGAACACTATCAAAGAACTGTATGCAAATGGTGGGAGAAGAGCTAAATATCTGGKGTTTATATCACCAGTTTCTGGAACTAACTTCAGCTAATTTTTTCTTAGAACTGTGCAGAAGGGAAGCTTAAGTCCTAATCTTTGCAAAGAAAAAATATTTACTGTTCAGTCATCCCACCACACTAACTGTTGTTTATGACTCTGGCAGTGACACACAGTGCCCTGTTACATTCTTAGTGGGTTAGGAGCTAAAGATATGCAGGAAAAATACTGTCCCTATTGCAAGGAATTTGCAGTTTAAAACATGGCAGGATTAAGCAACAGCCAGAGACAAATTTTTCCATCTCTACTGAAATTTTACTTGTTTAGGAAGTGAAAGCATATATAATGAAATAAATGCAATATGAACGACAATGAAAAGGAAATTTGTCCCCTAAATTGTTCTATAGATTTTTTCTTCCTAAAGTACTGAAGCAAAAAATATATCTGTAACCATGGAGATTATACCAGGCAACATGCATAATAATTCAAAATGTGGCATCACATAAATGTTCTTTGTCATGAGTGGATTATTACAAAGAAGTAGGTTTCCCCTAAACAATTTTCAGAAGCAGGATAGATGTGCTTCATTTCCCGACCCTCTTTTTTGCAAGGGGAAAGAGGAAGTGTCAGTGCTGTGGTATGTGCAGGGAAGTTGYATTGTGTTCAGTTTGAAAAGGCTCAGCTTCCCAGGTTCTTGGTAGTTTTTAATCATAGATACAATTTGCTGAAAATGTTTATTTTCTGTGAATTGTCACACCAGAGCAACAAATCCACCACACTGCCCGTCTGGCATGAAAGATGGCCATGGAGACACATATTTACAGGATAAGGAGTAAACCGTTCTAATTAATTTTTGCTCGGGTCTTCTGCGTTTGGTCATTTGTTTGTAGGACTACATACAAATGTACAAAATCAATATTAAAAACCATTCCTGTTTAATCCTAGAAATACCACGAATTGGCTAATTTGTTAGCTATAAAACAGGATTCCTTCACATTTGGCAATATTTGTTTCTCTGCTTATTCTTTCTCTGTATGGATGACATCAAATAGCAAATAGCTCTCAGTCTGCCAGCTTCCAATGCAGGATGAATATTGATGCAGTTCTTAGTCTGATACAATCTTTAAGGAAGAGGGAAAGAATTGCTGCAATCAGGACCTTCCATAATACCTTAAATTTGTAATTTCACTTTTTCGTCTAAGGAGTTAACTAAAATMTGGTGGTTTGCTGTTGTTTGAGTTAGGAAGAGAAACTGATGATGATGCAAGGATGATGTAAATCCTGTTTACTTACAAACAATGTAGAAAATGTTGTTTCCTTGAAGAGAGGAAAAATTCAGAAGATACTTCCTTTTTACACTATCCTTAAGTACTCAGCTGTTTCTCAGAGCCACAACTCCTTTTTTTTTCTGCCTCTGCAACTTCTTTTTTCAAATCCCTCCTCCATGTTATTTTGCTTTGGCAATAGGCCATTGATTCACCTATCACTTTCATAAAGTTGAATCTTTTTTTTTCTTTTGTATTTATTTTAAGTGGCATGCCTTTTTTATGCTCTCCATCTTCAAAATGCAATTTCACCCAGSCATCAGTGGATAGAGCTAGAACAAAATTAATTCTTTCCCTTTCTCTTCTGCAGGAGGCCACATGGAGGCCCAGTGTGAAAATAGGAGTTAACACAGTTACTTAATATATTACTTCTGTCCCAGAGGAGCTGAACCCMTGGAGATCAGTGGTAATCATAATTACCATAGTTTCCCAAAGTGGGTGTTGTCATACAAAGCATGTTTTTCTAGAAGGAATAATTTTACCCAACATATTCACTCTTAAATTTGTGGAATTCAAATAGGTCAACATTGAAACCTAGAAAAAAATAAGCAAATTAAAGCAATGAGAAAAGTTATGTTTTCTTTTGTAACTGGCAAGAWAGATGTGCCTGACTGTGTGATTAATAACACTAGAGATGGCCAGAGAGAACTTGGATTTGGGAAGAACAGCTTAGGATTCAAAGAAATAATCACAGTAAATAGAGCAATAGCCATTATTTTCCCAAGCAGAGAAACCTGCTCTGTGCTGCCCACACATGACAGAATTGCATCTCAATGATTTAATGAAGCACTGAGCACTCCCAATCTTTGTGAATCAATCAGGGACACTTCCATTCCTTTGCATTCTGACTTTGCACTGAACTTCTGCATCCGTTGGTAGAATTTGCACTAAAATATGTGATGTATTTAAGACAGAGCCCTTCCTAACTTCTTTTCTTCCTCTGCACTCAGCGTTGGTAAGGCCACACCTCAAATCCTGAGTGCTGTTCGGTCCCTCAGTTCAGGGAGGACACTGAGGTGCTGCAGTGAACTCCGAGAAGGGCAATGGAACTGGTGAAGGGTCTGGAGCACAAGTCCTGTGGGGAGCGGCTGAGGGAGCTGGGGGTGTTTAGCCTGGGGAAAAGAAAGCTCTCTGAAAGGAGGCTGTAGCCAGGTGGGGATCGGGCTCTTCTCCCAGATACCCAGGGACAGGATGAGAGGACACAGCCCCAAGTGAGCCAGGTGAGGTTTGGGTGTGACACCGGGAGGAAATTCTTCACAGAAAGAGAACATTGGAATGGACTGCCTAGGGAGGTGATGACCGCCTCTGGACGTGTTAATGAAAAAGCTGTACGTGGTACTCAGTGCCATGGTCTAATTGACAGGGTGGTGTTTAGTCATAGACTGGACTCAATGATCTCAGAGGTCTTTTCTAACCTAAYTGATTCAGCGATTCTTGTAGGTCAAACAGAGCTGCGGGGGCTCTCCACAGAGCTCGGGCAGCCCCTAACAGAGGCAGCAGAGAATCGCACAGCCACCACCCGCCGCGCTCGGCTGCGGCTCTAGCGGGACCGGCCCCTCAGCCCGGGGGCTCGGCCACTCGCACGGCGGGGCCCGCCCCTCACGGCCCGCCCGCCCGCTCATTGGCCTGTCAGCCCCACGTGACCGGCGGGCGGGCGGGCGCGTGCTCGCGGGGAGCCCGGGAGCGGCGCCGGCGAAGGCGGAAGTGCGCGGCGGGGGCGCGCGGGCGGCGGCGGTGCCCCCTCAATGAGAGCCGGGGCGMGGCGGCAGCGGGAGCAGCGGGGCCGGGGGGCACAGCCGAGACGGGAGCCGGGCTGGAGCCGCCGCGCAAAGCCGGGCCTTAGCCCCGAGGTGAGAGCGAGCAGCGACACCGTGATCCCCCAACCCTTGGGGCTTGTGGAGGGCTCGGCCGTCCCGGCCTCGCGCTCTCGGTGAGGGCAGGCGGGAGTCGCCGGCTCCTGGCCGCGTCCCGGGGATGTGGCTGAGCCCCCCGGTCTCCGCACTCTGCGGAGAGGGTGGGGAGGAAGATGCCACCGGGGGTGCGGAGCAGCCCCTCCTTCTCGGGTGCGTGGGGTGAGGAGAGCCCGGCGGTTTCTGGCCGGGAGTTCCTCGGCCGTGGGAGAGCACCGGGGGCGGGCGAGGGGAGAGCGGGGGCAGCCGGTGACCGTCGGGCCTGCGCGGGAGCCGCACTGGGAGGCGAGAGGCCCCGCTCGTGGATTTGGCCGCTCCTGCGGCTCCCGGTGGTTCTGGGCTGAGGTAGCCGAGGACCGCTGTGGCTCCTATCTACAAGTGGGACCTGGGGGAGGGAAAGGGCGAGGAGGAGCTGGCCTTGAGCGTTAGCTCCTCTGGTGGATCCCTCCCGTGCAGGCTGCCCTGCCTTTCCTTGGTGCCCTCGGATAAATGATAACGTTTCGTCTGTGCGAGATAAGCAGAGGGTTTGGGATGCTGTCGGTCTCAGCTGAGCCAGAAGTTCCTGGGGGATCTTGTTTTATCTGGGTAGGTTCTCTCTGTGCCCGTCTTTATCCTCCCTGCAGCCTTACCGGTGTAGATCTTGTAGGAAGAGAAGGGTGGTGCCTGAGCRTGACTTTACCTGGAGAAGGGCAGGGAGAGAGGTGAGACAAAGCAGCCCAGTCATGTTTTCTGAACAGGTGGTGGAGGCCTAACTCGGTCATTCTGCTGGAGCCCTGTTGAATCAATTCAGTTCCGAGAATTAGCCTTGGCTACGCCTGGATATTTTCATGGTGGAAGGGAACAAGGAGACTGCACCTGCACAAGGAGCAGCCTTGCGGTTTTCAAAGCTAAAGTCTGCAGTCTGAGTAATTTTGGGGTTTTTTTTTTGTTTTTTTTTTTACCTGTTCTAATATTACTTCTCTAGTTCCAAGATCCTTGTTTCTCTTCTGAGATATAGGGAAGTGTCTATCCTCATCCTCAGAGACATGATTTTCTGGAAAAGCTGTCTTTTTTTTTAAATGTTGTAAACACTACCCCACCCCCCCAATAATTAAAATTATCCAAGTGAGGATGGGAACTAACAACTGGGAACAGACCTGTGGTTCCTGGAAGTGATTTTCTCAAAGGCTGAAAATAATTTTAATACAGAGAATGTAATAGCAACAGCTCAATCTTACTTGACAATAGCTTTACACTTATTCACATATAGCAGACTTGCTAGAATAAGTTTAACTACTTAGAGTTTTGCTTATGATTAGATGATACCAACTTACCATGGTGCAATATTTTGCATTTTTTTCCTCTACGAAATACTTGATTTAGGAACAGAATAGCCTTCAGACTACGCCTGTAAACAACTTTCCTGTGTTAGGCTTCTAGCTGTAAATTGTTTATTTCCACTTCTTTTGGAGTAAACTAACTTGATTCTGTTTTGCATTCCTGGGAGAAAGTGAAGCTGACCTATTTTTGCTGGTGTTATGTATATGCTGCAGAGGTATTTCTAGTCTAAAGATTTAGCTGAAATGCTTTACAAAACCTCGTAACTGAAAGCTTAATTTGACCAGACAATATCCTTTCTTGGCCATCCTTTAAAACTCTCAAACTTGTCTCTAATTGTCAGTGCAGTGGTACTGGAAATCTGGGTAGAAGAGCAATTGAGGCATTTTCATCAAATCAAGTCAGTAATGATAGGACACTGCCTGGACAACTTGGATGTGTGCATTGAAATCCTGGATGATTTATAGTTTCTGTGATCTAATGCCTCATTTGAGCTCTAAGTTTTTTCAGCTGCTTAATTGATTGAGCATCTACTGTTATTTGACCAAATKCTGCATAACATTATGTCCTTCTCTGGGAGGTATTGGGGTCCAAGCTCCACATGGAACAAAACTGTCCTGTGAACAGAGCGGAAGTTTTCGTGTGAAACAGCAGAACAAGCACTAGAATGATGATTTGGGAATCTGGTTCATAGTTTGTTCTTGTCCTGTAAACCTATTCACTTTCTATGCAGTGGATAATTACATGTTAACTCAGTCATTTCTTACTGATTAGATTCAAGCTCCATGTGACTGATTAAATGAATTGCTTTCTATTGCACAACGAGTTCATATGAATTAATAGCYTCTCTTAGCAGGGGTACTGAAGGAGCCTGTTTGTCCTGACAGCTGTGCAGGCACTAAGCACTCATGGGAGTGCCAGTGCACAGTGGTGTCAAGACAAACAGAGTGGTCAGTAGGTGTCTTGTGTGAGTTGCTGTAGCAAGCAGCTCAGGATGGAACGGTGGTCTCTGTGGCTTTGAGTGAAAGGCAGTGGCTGGGGAGGCCACAAAAGTAGATAAATGTAGGTGCTTCTGCTTTTCACTCCCTGAGCGCCTGTCTTCAAGTAAYTTTGCATGACTGACTTAGGAAAGGTGCTGATTCTAATTATCAGCCAGGTTTGATAGCAASTCAYTCTGTCTTGAGTTGGAAGTTTATCTCGCTGATAAAAACCTGCAGTTCTTTAGGTTTTCTCTCTTCACCTTCCAGCCCCATGTTTCTGCTAACTGTTCTGCACCACTGTCAAGCAGCGGTGATGAGGTTCCATTGCTTGCTGCYTGCTATTGCATGGAGCACCAAGGTCAGCAAGCATTCTTGGTTGTTTCACTCTCCCAGTGGTAAYAGTCAGTTTTGTGGCTTTTGTTGTATGATATAGTTGATGCTTTCCTGTTGATAAGTGGCTAAAGTACGTATATTTAAAAAGTCCTTGTTAATACCTCCTAAGGAGCAATCATTTTATTGGTAGCTCTTTTAGCCCGTTAAACAGGGCTAACCAACTTTCCTCCATGCCTGCCCCAGAAATATCAAGTTGTCATTTAAGGCTGTATAACTCATGATTTATCTCTTCATGTACTTCCAAATACTGCTTTAATAGTAATATTAGAGGATCTGTTTTGTCTCTTGTGCTTGAGATGTRCAAATGTGTTTTTCAAGACCTGTCAAAATGAAAGTTATGGAGTCATGTAATGTGAGAATGTTACTTAGGCTGATGTGTAAGTAGCTACTTGAATCTTTATGGTAACAAGGTGCTTGCTTGGAACTTCAGCTGTTTTCTGTGGAGCCTTGAGCCCATAGCCTTCTCTGCTGGAGYTGTTGACAGAGGAATAATGGTTGATTACACAAAATATGAGACTTAATGGAAATGCAGTCCTGACTAGGAATCTTTGCTGGATCACAAGTCAAAGACTGAAAAATCAGTTCTAGGATTATAAGCACTTGTTAAAGTCTTAATCCTGTCAGCTGTTACTTTGTGAATTAGTATTGCTGTCAGTTGAAGTGATTAGTGTGAAATGTTTCAGGCCACTAATAATGTAGTGAAACTGAAGGTTTTAATATGTTCTTCTTAAATTTGGAATGTGTCAAAACTAATCTGAAGTCAAAGCATAGAACTGTAAAGCTGAGAACATGCTGAGTTAAGCAGATGCTGTGATTTCTCTGGTTTCTAGCTTTTTCTGCATATATTTTTACCTGTAGTGAAAGATTATTCTTCAGAAGAGTACTGAGGACTTAGGCTTCGCCCCTATTTTGCGCATGGTTGATGGGCATATTAAACAATGTTTCCAATTTAGACTTAGTCTTGATGATATATTTTTTTTTAAGCTGGTGGTTTGAATCACAGGTCTAACAGAGAAAAGAATCCCACTTTTATAGACAAGACTGTAATGGAGTACTGCATTACAGGGTTATGCTTAACATGACAAAGCACTTTGAAAGATTATTTGTAGGAGCTACCTGAACTCTGGACTTCATGCTGCAGAACATAAACTAAAGTGGCTTCTTTTTTAAAGTAGGTGTTTCATAAGGTTAGTGCTACCCTGCTCCACAGGATGTTGTCTCGGGCACTCTCTAAAGCAGACATTTAACAAGTGTAGTAGTTTTAGATCAGGATGCATGCCAGTTGCCTCAGCTTYTCAGAAAAGAGGTGGTTTTGCTAACTGGGGAAGCTGCTCCCTGATTATGAGTTAATTGTAAAGTATGTCATGATCTTTGATACAGCCTTTTCACTAAAATGTTGCAGCAGTAAGAAACATCTCTCCATTATGGTACTGTTCCTTGGATTACTGTGAGATCTCATTTTGAATAGGTAAGGAATTCTCATTAGTGTACTTACCAAGAAGTCTCACTGACTGACTTTTATGGCAGCTCTCTGCTTTTATCTACCATGTCATAAAATAGACTAGCCAAAAAATTTAGGGAAATGGTCTTTCAAAAGACAGCAGCAGCTTCAAGCACGCATTCCTACCTCTCAGTCCACTTTATCATGTTTCAAAAGTCAGTTTAGGAATCAATTTAATTTTTTAAACAATTCTGCAGGCATTGGGATTTTACTTTTAAGTTTGTCTTATGAGGCAGACTAAATTCAAAGTAGTCTCTATTGGTTGAATCTGTTCTGAAGTTTTAATGAAAGGAAACTAATTAAAAAAAAACATTTGACAGGCTGATTGCTGGTGATTCTGTGCATCTTTATCTTCATTTATCTTGTAAAACAGTGATCAAGCAGTACACTTGTCCAACTCCTTTCCTGAAGTATCCACAACTGTCTTCTAATATCATCTAGTATAATAATATAACCATGTAGGACCATAGCACAATATSAACCCTGTTATACTCTTGTAAATAAGTATTAGATAAGGTTTCTAATTAAGTGTTAGTCATGATGGATTGGCTTAAAGTTTTCTAGCTCTGCTGTACTACTTGTGCAAGTTGAAAAATGGGCCTTCCACTTCCCACAGGTAAGACTTTTAGCAACTGTGTTGCTGGGGCACAGATTTKACTTAGAGTTGCTGAGGCTGGAAGACACTTGCGGGGACTGTCTAGTCGAGTCCTCCTGCTGACTGTGCTACTGCTGACCCATAAACTGGCTCA